AAGGCAGGTGCTATGTACTAAGCTTGGATCCTAGAACAATAGGCAAGTAGGATCGTAGAATGCAACAACTGATTGGCCTGCAGGAAAAGACCAATCAGGCTCAAGGAGGGAAGCAGAATCAGCCAATCAGACGGGACTCATTGTGTAAATAATGTATATAAAAGCCTGAGGTTTGGGGGGGGGGGGAATTCAATCACTGTTTTACAAGCTGCAATAAAGAGCATGAAATCACTGCAGGACTCTGAGTATATTTCAGCAGGTAACACTGTAACTCTGGAATAATCTCCCAGAAACACCATTTCAGACATCCCAACAAAGAGCCCTGTTGCAACACACTCATTTGTTAGTGTTATAGACTTTTTTTCTGCCAAAGAATTGTTATTTAGTGATGCAAACTCCCCAAGAAGAAACCTGTGGCACTTAAATAAAATAACAAACTGATCACAACGTGAGTTTTCTATTGGCATGTGTGACCATGGGGAATTATACAAGAAAGCTCTTGTAAACTGAAAGAGAGTAGTTCTTGTTTCTTGCATTTCAGGCTTTCAAGGGGCCACAAATGAGAAATCAAAGTATGACACAGACAGACAGGGTTGTGTTAGTGACCTAGTAAAATTTGTGGAGTTACAAGTCTGCATATACTGTGGTATCTCGGGTTAAGTACTTAATTCGTTCCGGAGGTCTGTTCTTAACCTGAAACTGTTCTTAACCTGAGGTACCACTTTAGCTAATGGGGCCTCCCGCTGCTGCCGCTGCCACCGCCGCACGATTTCTGTTCTCATCCTGAAGCAGAGTTCTTAACCCGAGGTATTATTTCTGGGTTAGCGGAGTCTGTAACCTGAAGCGTATGTAACCTGAAGCGTCTGTAACCCGAGGTACCACTGTAGTTGAGACAATATTCAACTAACACATAGCATTAAAAAAAAAAAAATCTCCTCCAGGCTCCAGATTAGTCAATCTTGTTCCTTCCGTGCTGTACCACAGCTGAACCAATTAGAGGGAATGCTTTATGGTATAATATTGGATCAATTATTAGTGCAGGGAAATGCTAAGCAATTTCAGAACTGCAAGTGAAGAACCGGTTCCTTCTAGGCAGTGCTTTTTTGGGGGGGGGGGGGGGTACGCAGGGGTACGCATACCCCTAAACATTTTGTGAATCTTTGCACTTTTTTCCATTTACTCTTTTTATTTTTCCCTGTTTGAACTATAAAATGGTGATTTTCTTGAGTCAAAAGGAGAGTACCCCTAAACACCTTTTTTAAGGGGGAAAAAGCACTGCTTCTATGTCACTATCATTTATGGGTTTTTTCCATTAGCTTTACAAAAGACTAAATGCGTAGTTTGTTGCAGAGGAGCTTGTGGATGAAAGGCGGGCACCTTTTTCTGTATGACACTTCCTGTAAGTGTCACCCTCATGCTCTTAAGAGCCCTACTTCAAAGCGCCTCTTCCCAGAGAAGTTCTGTGGGTGACAGCTAATGAAGTTGGGTGCTGAAATTAAAAATTTAAGGTCTTATATGTATAATAAATGTTCATAAATGTACCAAGCAAACACGTACATAAATATATAAACCACATGTCTGAAGCAGCACAGGAAAACAGCCCTGAAACCATTTTGACTCCCAAACTGACCAAATGATTTCTCTGCAAGGTTGAAGGAAAATGGAAAAGCCTCCCCATTGTCTTTTCCTTCACAAATCCTGTCTTAAAGGTATGTCTGTATATGAATAGGGTGAGCCTATGACCTGGCTCAGGAACTAAGTATTTATCATTACAAAAGACTGGCCAGGCTCCCCAGGTTATCCAATCAAGTCACCATTAACAGGTCTGCCAGATAGGAGGCAAACAATGCACTCAGATTTCTGTTGTAGACCGCCCTTTCTGTGATGCAGGTATGATGTATCTGTGAGCTACATGCCTTTGTGATGTATGTATGATGTTTCTGGGGGTGGTCTTCGACTCCAGGGTGGGCAATTTAAAATGTCTATATAAGGACGGGCACACCTTTGTTTGGGGTCTTTTTCCTGTGTGTGAAGGGGGCACCCTGTTGCAACAGTTCGATAAAGATCAGGCGTACTAGCTGCTTTGCTTCTCAATATTCTCTGGTTGGCCTCTGTTATTTTCTCCGACTGATGGAGAACCTACAAAGGACTCTATAAGGGCTTTTGTGTTCCCCATAAGGGAATAAGGGCAGATTTTTGTTGATTACAGTGCTTTTCTCCAGTCACAGCAACTTCCTTGTGAGATATATGCCCACAAGAAGCTCTGCCACCTGTTAGGAAACAGTGAAGGCCTGCTCATTTTAGAAGATGTTTGATCGATCAGGGTTAGTGCAATTAGTGTGCTGATCTTAGTGATGCCCTAATGTTTGACCATGGGACACGGGTTTGCAGATCAGAAGGTTGGCGGTTCGAATCCCCGAAACGGGGTGAGCTCCTGTTGCTCAGTCTCTGCTCCTGCCACCCTAGCAGTTCAAAAGCACACCAGTGCAAGTAGATAAATAGGTATCGCTCCGGCGGGAAGATAAACGGCGTTTCCATGCGCTGCTCTGGTTCGCCAGAAGCGGCTTAGTCATGCTGGCCACATGACCCGGAAAAACTGTCTGCGGACAAACATCAGCTCCCTTGGCCAGTAAAGCGAGATGAGCGCCGCAACCCCAGAGTCGTTCGCGACTGGACCTGATGGTCAGGGGTCCCTTTACCTTTTTAATGTTTGACTGTTTCAAACAGTTTAAGTGACAGTTGAACCAAACTGAAATTTGTGTAAATGGTTCTTAGCTAAATCGGAGGCCTATTGTTTGTGACTGACAGGTGGAATAAAAATGACTAAGCCTTAAAGCAGTACTGTATATACACCCTCCCTTTAAAAAAAAAGTTAAAACTTACAGATTACTTGTTTATTGAACATTCAGTTAGATTTGCTTGCAGAGAGATTAGATTATGTTGGCTATTAAACACACAGTCACTCTGATTTGTTAGCAAAAAGATTAACCATTGTTGCACCAATGCTTTGCGGCGCATTTTTCTGTAACTTTATCCAAAAAAAGTCAGATTTTTTTGGGAAGTGGGTTTGTAGTACAAAACCTCCAAATCAGCTTTGTGAGACCTGAATTTCCCGAATCCCACCTGAAAATAGTGACATTTTGGAAGCGTCCGAAAACTGTAATCCTGTACAAATTTACTTTGATGCAGGATTATTCAGGTAACACATACTTTGAATACAGAGAGCCTTACTTCTGAGGTAAGTGTATATAAGTTTGGCAGGCATTCACTGCAATTCTAAATAATGAATTACTAGGAAGTAAGGCCTGTTAAACTCACTGAAACTGATTTCCCAGTGAAAATGACTAAAACGGCAGAAGAAAAAAATAAATATTCTTTTCCAGAGAAGTCAACTAGCTAGTCAGGCTTGTTTAGTCTGCACAACAAAAGAATTAGGTACTCATATGCTTCTGAGTATAACCTGATTACCTCCTTCCATTAACATATAGGGAACAAATAATGACATCCAACCTGGAAGTGTTGTATGTCAGAGCAACTACTCTCCAGGAACTACTCCACAGCTCCAATTTATAAAGATTATAATCCAAGTCAATGAAACATTCTTGCAATTAGAGGGCAATGGTCGGCGGTTCAAATCCCCGTGACGGGGTGAGCTCCTGTTGCTCAGTCCCTGCTCCTGCCAACCTAGCAGTCTGAAAGCACATCAAAGTGCAAGTAGATAAATAGGTACCACTCCGGGAGGAAGGTAAACGGCGTTTCCGTGCGCTACTCTGGTTCACCAGAAGCGGCTTAGTTATGCTGGCCACATGACCCAGAAGATGTACGCCGGCTCCCTCGGCCAATAAAGTGAGATGAGCGCCGCAACCCCAGAGTCGTCTGCGACTGGACCTAACGGTCAGGGGTCCCTTTACCTTTTTAAAATATGTAAAATTCAGTGCTTTATATGATTCAGCCACAAGGTGGAGCAATACACAAAGATTAAAGAAGCCATGCTAGCCAGCTCTTAAAAGCTGGGATTGTTTGTGTTTTCAGAGACCATGAGGCTAGGAGTTAATGACTTGCGACACCTCAGTCACGTTGACACCATGAACTGAAGGGTCCCGGTGTTACTCTGACTCTTGGCCACAAGGAATGTGCAGCAGCAGAAAAATGCTAACGCTGTTCTAGGCTGCACCAACGGAAGTCCAGGGTCCTGATCGAGGGAAGTCATAGTCCAGCTCTCTCCTGCCTTGGTCAGACCACACCTGGAATACTATGTCCAGTTCTGGGCACCACCATTTAAGAAGGATGTTGACAAGCTGGAACGTGTGCAGAAGAGGGCAACCAAGATGATCAAGGGACTGGAAACTAAGCCTTATGAGGAACGCTTGAAGGAGCTGGGTACATTTAGCCTGGAAAAGAGGAGACCGAGAGGAGATCTGATAGCCATCTTCAAATATCTTAAGGGCTGTCACATGGAAGAGGGAATAAGCTTGTTTTCTACACCAGTGTGGTGTAGTGGTTAAGAGCGGTAGTCTCGTAATCTGGGGAACCGGGTTCGCGTCTCCGCTCCTCCACATGCAGCTGCTGGGTGACCTTGGGCCAGTCACACTTCTTTGAAGTCTCTCAGCCCCACTCACCTCACAGAGTGTTTGTTGTGGGGGAGGAAGGGAAAGGAGATTGTTAGCCGCTTTGAGACTCCTGAAGGGGAGTGAAAGGCGGGATATCAAATCCAAACTCTTCTTCTTCTTCCTCTTCCTGCTTTGGAGGTCTTTAAGCAGAGCTAGGATGGTCATCTGCCATGAATGCTTTCTCTGAGATTCCTCCATTGCAGAGGGTTAGACTAGACGACCCCTGGGTCCCTTCCAACTCTAAGATTCTATGAATACGATCTGGATTAATGACAGCCATCCACCAGTTTCATATTCAAAACTGCTTCCCACCCCAACCCATTACTGATTACCATATATAAAGAATACATTAAAGTAGACAAATAACAACTTACAAAAAGGAGCAATAAACGTGTCACCTTTATTTTATAAACCTTTATCATAATCACGTCAGATTTTCTTTTGTGAATGAAATAAAATGCTTTCAACCAGTTTTTAATAGCTAAAAATAATTTTGGCTGGTACATTTAAACAAGGCTTAGATCAACTCCCCAGATATTCAGTGTCCAGGAGTTCAGTGCCTGGCTCCCACAAACTCATAACATTTCACTTCCTTGCAACCTTAGGAAAGCTGTTTGTTTCTTGATGGAAGACACTGGGCAGAAATGGAAAGAAACAGGGGGATGAGGAGGTCTAAGGGTGAAGTCCTGCTCATGTCCATCATAATACTGGACAGATTACTACAGGGTGTTGAGAGGGGTTATTTTTAACTATTAAGTGAGAAACAGCAGCCATAGTCAAGGCCAGAAGTGTTTTCCCTTGGTGACCCTGCCATGTTGAAAAGTGTGTGTGTTTGTGTGGTATTTCCTGTCCTGTCCAGAAATGCATCGTGCTGGATGAAGACAGCTCTAGATCTTTTCTAAATAAATTGAATAAAACCACTTAACCCACTGAAAGATACATTTGAAAAAATAATATTAAGAGGAGTGATGCCCATTGTTAAGCAAGGTAGCTAAAGTGATGATGTCATGTCCTCCATTGTGACACGTCCCCCTGCTGAGTGACTTGGCTGAGAACTTTGGGCAGAGCAACTATTTGAATTTAATCAGTGAATTTGGTGAGAGTGTATTTGTTTGTGGACATCATGAAAGTTTCATCAAATCGTCTGTAAGTAGGATCTCTTATTCTTTCCACAGTCTGTTTCTTTTGCTGTCCCGTAAGGTTTAGACACATAGGGAACCAGGTCATGGTTAGATTAATTTTTAAAGATTGTCCTCAGGGCCCCTTAGATGCTTTGAGGGAAATAGCTTGCAGTGCAGGGATAGAGAGTAGCGAGGAAATAATCCATTTCGTGACCTTCTTCCTTTTCTTCCCTAGATGTTCCGGTCTGCGAAGGTTGAGAGAGCTGCTGGCCTCCTGTTGCCGCTCGATAAAAATCCATCCCCTGGACGAAGACACCATGGAGATTAATGGAAAGAAGATCAGAGTTCATACGATTTATGTGAGGCCGAAGGACCAGGGGATGGATGCCACCAGTGATTCCACTAGTGGTGAGTGTTGATCTTTGTTCACGAAGAACAGGGAGGCCAGAGAGAATCTGGCTGGCTGGGGGGAGGGGGGAGGCAGCTCCCTGATTTAAGAAGAGTTTAGGGATTGGATGAGGAAGGGAGAATAATGTGGGCCACTTGGAGATCCTTGCAGTAATAATCAATGGAAATATTAAGAATCTTTTCTGTTCTTTTCTCTTCCAGGCAGCGGCAACAGTGAGGCCAGCAGCTCTCTCAACCAAGGACCAGTTTCCCCCTTCCCCAATTAATTTTTTTATTCTAATAAAGATTTGTATTGCAAATATGCTAGTCTTTGGTCATTTTTTTATCCCTGGCGGTTCTTTCCCCCAACCGTATGGGTGCATCTACAGCGACAAGAATATTACTTGCCCAAAAATGGAAAGAAGAAGAAGTCCCAGCGAAAGAAGAATGGATACAAAAACTTATGGAATATGCAGAAATGGCAAATCTTACCGGAAACATAAGAAATCAAGATAACAAGATAGCTCCCCTCCCCCGAAGGCCCAGTTCCCCCTTCCCCACAAACCTAAATAGACAAACAAATTTTCTTTTATTCTAATAAAGGTTGTATTACAAACATGCTAGTCCTTGATCATCCTTTTACCCTTGGGGGTGCTTTGCCCAACAGTTGTGGGTGGGCATGGGTGGGAATCTGGGGTCTCACTGCAGGAGTCTACAGTTTGGCTCCTTTCCCTTGTTGTTGCTCCTAGATGTGCATGTGTGAAGAAGACAGGACACAGACTGAGGAGGGTGGGGGAGAAATTCCATCCAGTTGGTGCATTCACCCATAGGAACATTCTAGGACAATATTGTGATAGCTCACTCCAATGTCTGTTGAGGGGTGCGAGGTTCTAGGAGCCTGGCACTTAACCAGGCTTTGTGCTTCCTTGGAATGAGGCACAACAGAGACTGCAGTGTCTTTTGGATGTATGGTTTTTTCACACATATATACAGCTTGGCTCTTGGATGGTGGGGGGCATTACATCTCCCTACAGCAAAGCAGCACTGGGCTCCAAGACATCTCCATGCCTTTGTCCCAGCCTTCCTTTGGCCAGCCTGCCAAGGTACTTCAGCCCCCATACGGAGGTCTTCTAATTTCCGCCTCCTTGTTCCCATAACACCTTGCCCAAAAAACCTGTGTTCAAGGACAACTTTCTTCCCCAGTGTGACATCACACCCACATTGCCCTGGCAACTTGCCTCTCAGTTACCCTTTTGTCTTGTAGATAGTTTTTGTGATGGGTTAGTAGCAGGGCCATCACCTCCCTCTGTTCCTCTGTCAGAAAAACAAGGTCAGCCTCTCAACATAAATCTCCATCACAAGCACAAGATTCCAACATATTCACGGCACCCACCCACTAGTTCCACAATCAAAGTTGCTTCCCACCCCCTTATTGATTACTCTAAACTATAGATACTACATATAATAAAACATTAAAGTGGACAAATAATAACTTCAAAATTGGATCAATAAACGTATCACCTGTTGTCTGAATACCTTAATCATAATAATCTCATGTCAGATTTTTTGTGTGTGAATGAAATAAAATTGTTTCAAATAGCTTTTGATGTTGGTATTTGTCTGTCTCTTGAAGAAGTGGAGTGCGCCTCCGGGGATGACGTCAAAAATCAAACAATTGTGTGGGAAATAAAGCCATGCGTCAATTCGACAGGCTGGGGGAGGTTAAGGAAGCACCCCGTAAGAGGAGATCCTGTCCCCTGATTTAACAGAAGAACAGGAATGGCAAGTTAAAGCTGTTCTTACAGAATACCAGAAAATCTTCTCATATTTTCCTGGGAAGACTAATTCGGCTCTGCTCAAAATTGAGACCGAAGAGGCTAGACCCATAGCGTTGCCTCCATATCGGGTAACGGGGCCTCAAACTGACATCATCTCCACTGAGATTTGGGAGATGTTGGACCTGGGTTTAATAGTCCCATCAGACAGCCCTTGGGCTTCCCCAGTTATTCTGGTTCCCAAACCAGACCAGACTGTTCGCTTTTGTGTGGGCTGTTGTTGTTTAGTCGTTTAGTCGTGTCCGACTCTTCATGATCCCATGGACCAGAGCACGCCAGGTACTCCTGTCTTCCACTGCCTCCCGCAGCCTGGTCAAACTCATGTTGGTAGCTTCGAGAACACTACCCAACCATCTCGTCCTCTGTCGTCCCCTTCTCCTTATGCCCTCCATCTTTCCCAACATCAGGGTCTTTTCCAGAGAGTCTTCTCTTCTCATGAGGTGGCCAAAGTACTGGAGCCTCAGCTTCAGGATCTGTCCTTCCAGTGAGCACCCAGGGCTGATTTCCTTCAGAATGGATAGGTTTGATCTTCTTGCAGTCCACGGGACTCTCAAGAGTCTCCTCCAGCACCATAATTCAAAAGCATCGATTCTTTGGCGATCAGCCTTCTTTATGGTCCAGCTCTCACTTCCATACATCACTACTGGGAAAACCATAGCTTTAACTATACGGACCTTTGTTGGCAAGGTGATGTCTCTGCTTTTTAAGATGCTGTCTAGGTTTGTCATTGCTTTTCTTCCAAGAAGCAGGCATCTTTTTTTCGTGGCTGTTGTCACGAATTTTGTGTGGGCTACAGGCGTTGAAGCCAAGTGACATCTATCCAATACCGTGCCTGACATCTATCCAATACCGAGGGTAGATGAGTTGGTAGAGACAATTGGGGCTGCCCATTTCATTTCTACTATAGACTTAACCAAAGGATATTGGCAGGTGGCGATGGAGCCTAAAGATCAACCCAAGACTGCTTTTAGAACTTGAGATGCGTTATTTGAGCTCATTGTTTTAGCTTTTGGGTTAAGGAATGCTCCAGCCACCTTTCAGTTTAACTGATAAGATGCTGGTGAGGTTAAAAGATTTTGCCCTCGCTGATACTGATGATGTAGCCATCTTCAGCCAGCCCTGGAAGGAACATCTAAGGCATCTAGCCATCGTGTTCCAACGGACAAAGTCAACTGTCAAAGCTTCTAAATGTCAGTTTGCTTTGAAGCAGGTAAAGTATTTAGGTCACATGCTAGGGGGTGGTAAGATACAACCTGATTGGAGCATAATAAAGGTCATTCAAGAGTGGCCTAGCCCTGTCAGGAGTGAACATGGACCAATGGTACCAAATAGTATGGGAAACAACCTTACTAGAAAAATTAACCCATAAATTGAAACTGACACGGGGACAAATAGAAGATGATGCCTTCACCCCGGTATGGATCCCCTTTATCACATACACAGCCCAACAAGACAACGACAAGAATCTGCCAAAAGCATATGAATCAATCTGGCTAACCTGATTCAAAAACACCCACCCACCCACCCCACTCACACATGAAAACAAAGTTCAGCACAGCCAATCACAAACAAGCAACCATACCCTAGGCCAACCCCAACTTCTCTCACCACCAATAATAATAATAATAATAATAATAATAATTTTATTATTTATACCCCGCCCATCTGGCTGGGCTTCCCCAGCCACTCTGTGCGGCTTCCAAAAAAAAAATTAAAATACTGTAATACATCAAACATTAAAAGCTTCCCTAAACAGGGCTGCCTTCAGATGTCTTCTAAAAGTCTGGTAGTTGTTGTTCTCTTTGACATCTGGTGGGAGGGCGTTCCACAGGGAGGGCGCCACTACCGAGAAGGCACACAAGCAAATAGCAAAGAGAACCCGCACAAACAACGCTGACACAAAACCCCACACGTACATTAAGTAGAACAGATACATTGCCACCCAACCCCAACCCCACGCACCACGGCCCCTTCCACCTCTTCCCCACTTTCCCCCCCTAATGTCACACTACGGTCCCCAACAAATGAAGCTGACCTGTAGAAAATGTAACTTGAAAAAAGAAACATTGCACATACGTTTGTAAACCAAGAAATCTTTAATAAAAACACATTGAGAGAGAGAGAGAGAGAGAGAGAGAGAGAGAGAGAGAGAGAGAGAGTGGCCTAGGCCCTCTACAAAAAAGCAAAACAAATGGGAGCTTTTCTGGGGGTGGTAGATATTATCGCCAATTTATTCCTGATTTTAGTCCCCATGCTGCTCCTTTACAAGACTGTGTAAAGAAAGACCACCCAGATAAGGTAACGTGGACGGCCCAGTGGCGAGCAGAAAGTGAGCATTTAAAATCAGCCTTAACAACGGAGCCTATTTTGAGAGCTCCCTCTTTCCTACAGCCCTTTGCCCTTTTCACAGATGCCTCCAATATAGGAGTTGGGGCAACTCTTTGCCAGAAAGGGGATAAGAGACAACTGCACCCCGTCCTATACTTAAGTAGGAAACTCTTGGGGAGGAAACAACACCTTTCTGTCATTGAACGAGAATGTTTAGCCATTGTGTGGGCTACTGGCAAGTTAAAGCCATACTTGTGGGGGAAGACATTTACCCTTTGTACCGACCGTTCCCCTCTGAAATGATTAAACTAAGTGAAAGGTGACAATAGCCAACTAATAAGGTGGAGTTTGCAATTGCCAGACTACAATTCTGACGTTTCCCACATCAGAGGGAAGGATAATGTGATTGCAGATGCCGTGTCACGAAACATTTACATAAGTACAGGGGCAATCATGCTGTGTAAATGCTTGTTTGACGAGATGTAATTGTTTGAAATGCAATTAGTTAAAATGCAAACTTAAAAATGGTTAAAATGTATTTGGATCCTATATTTTTTTAAAGCGCAATGCCTATCTATGGATGTAAAAAAAAATATAGAGTTAAGTGTTATGCTATATAGTTATGTTTAGAACTTTATAGTGTTTATAGCTTAATAGTATTATAAAGTATATAAGGTATTATGTATACGATGCACATATATTTGCGTCTTGAAGCAAGAACCCCAAAATACTTTTTACAATGCCTGCCCATTGCTACATCAAGGCTGGTATATGCAACCTCGCCTACACAATGATTTTCGGGGGTGGGATATGCGACGGAAAAGTTTGTTTAGTGAGCAGGTTGAGTCACCAAAGTGTTTTCTCCCCGCCAGAAAACTGTTAACTGACAACAGCTCCAGACTGGCCAGAGTTCCAGGGGAGGCAGTTGGAGTGGGAGTCGGTGTTAGAGACCCATGGGGTCTGTGAGGGAGAAATCGGAGGATGGAGTGATGGTCATGAAGGATAAGAAGGAAACATTAGTGAAGATGGAATCACTATATGTTCAACCAAGCGACCAGGGGATGGAGGCCACCACTGCTGATATGGATGGTGACTGTGAATCTTTCTGACACGTCCCCCTATTTATGGATAGTTCAAAGAAAAGAGGTCATTTGTGTGAATTGTGTTTTCCAAAAAATGAAAATCTCTTTATCTTGCCTGTAAGTACCGTATTTTACGCCCCATAGGACGCACCGCCCCATAGGACGCACCTAGATTTGGGGGGGGGGGGATATAAAGGAAAAAAATTGTATTTCCCCCCCAGGTGCGGGGCTGGCGCGGGGGAAACCCGAGCTTCCCCCGACCCCAGCCCCCAGAACAGGCTGCTGCCATAAGACGCACACACATTTCCCCTTCATTTTTGGAGGGGAAAAAGTGCGTCCTATGGGGTGAAAAATACGGTATATCTCTTCTTCTTTCCGCAGTCTGTTTCTTTTGCTATCCCTTAAGATTTAGAAGGGACATGGGTGGCACTGTGGGTTAAACCACAGAGCCTAGGACTTGCCGATCAGAAGGTCAGTGGTTCGAATCCCCGTGGGGTGAGCTCCCATTGCTTGGTCCCTGCTCCTGCCAACCTAGCAGTTCGAAAGCACGTCCAAGTGCAAGTAGATAAATAGGTACCGCTCCGGCGGGAAGGTAAACAGTGTTTCCGCGCACTGCTCTGGTTCACCAGAAGTGGCTTACTCATGCTGGCCACATGACCCGGAAGCTGTACACCGGCTCCCTCGGCCAATAAAGCAAGATGAGCGCCGCAACCCCGAGTCAGCCACGACTGGGCCTAATGCTCAGGGGTCCCTTTACCTTTAAGATTTAGAAACATAGGGAACCAGGTCATGATTAGATTAATTTTTAAAGATTGTCCTTAGGGCCCCCTTAGCTGCTTTGAGGGAAATGGCTTGCCTTCCCCCTTGTGGTCATCATCACAAGAAGGGCATCTCCCAGTTTTGGAGGGTCCTTTGACAAGATGCCCTCCTCAGTGGGTTAAACAGCTTGCTGTTTTCTCCAATAGAGGTTTCTGAAAGTAGGCTTAGCTGCCCGGTTCCCCAAATTTAGCACAGAGATATAGAGTATCAAGAAAGTATCTAGAACCCATTTCTTTATCAGTTTCCCTTTTCTTCCCTAGATTACAAAGTCTGAGAAGGCTCCATGGGCTGCTGGTCTCCTGCTGTCTCAAGCTGAAGATACACCCACTGGTCTGTGAGGAGGATGAATGGAAGTCTATGTGATGAAAGGTGGAATTGATGAAAATCAGAAGAATCTTTGTCAGACCATGCGACCAGGGGGTGGATGCCACCGATGACAACATGAATGGTGAGTGCTGATCTTTGTTCATCAGGAACAGGAAGGCCAGAGAGAATCTGGGTCACTGAGGGGGGGCGGGAGGGGAGAAAGCTTCCTGATTCAAGAAGAGTTTGGGGATGGCATGAGGACTTTGGGAAGAGCAACTACTGTATTTTTCGCTCTATAAGACGCACCAGACCACAAGACGCACCTAGTTTTTGGAGGAGGAAAACAAGAAAAAAAATATTCTGAATCTCAGAAGCCAGACCAGCAAGAGGGATTGCTGCGCAGTGAAAGCAGCAATCCCTCTTGCTGTTCTGGCTTCTGGGATAGCTGCGCAGGCGGCATTCGCTCCATAAGACGCACACACATTTCCCCTTACTTTTTAGGAGGGAAAAAGTGAGTCTTATAGAGCAAAAAATACGGTATTTGCTCTCCAATAGAGGTTTCTGAAACCAAGTTTAGCTGTTAGATAGAGAATCAAGAAAGAATCTAGAACCCATTTTCTGATTACTTTCCCTCTTCTTCCCTAGGTTTCAAAGTCTCAGAAGGCTCTGTGGGATGACAGTCTCCTGCTGTCATGTCACTAAGATCCATCCCCTGGTCTGTGAGGAGGATGAATGAGATGAAGAGGTGAACGTAATAAAAAATGGGAAGGTGGAGAAAGTGAAAATAAGAAGAATATTTGTCAGACCATGAGATCAGGGGTTGGAAGCCACCGATACCAACATGGATGGTGAGTGCTGATCTTTGTTCACGAGGAACAGGGAGGCCAGGGTTAATCTGGATTACTGTGGGGAGGGGGGAGGCAGCTCCCTGATTCAAGAAGAATTCAGGGATGGGGTGAAGAAGGGAGGAAGGGAGAATAACGTAAGCCACCTGGAGATCCTTGCAGGAAAGATGGGTTATCAACATAATAATAAATGTAAATATTAAGAATCGTTTCTCTTCTTTTCTCTTCCAGGCAGCGACAGCAGTGAGGCCAGCAGCTCTCTCCCTGCCTTTGCCCAGTTCCCCTTCCCCAGAAATCCAGATAGAAAAATAAATTAATAAATATATATTTTTACTGTTATTCTAATAAAGTTCATTTTCAAACACGATAGTCTTCGGTCATGATTTAATCCTTGGGGGAACTTTTTTCCAACAGTTGTGAGCGTGGGCCGGTGTCTACAGTTTGGCTCCTTCCTTTGTGGATGCTACTAGATGGATGCTTTCGCTGAAATTCCTGCATTGCAGGGGGTTGGACTAGATGACCCTTGGGGTCTTTTCCAACTCTACAATTCTGTGATTCCATGCTGCTGTTTGGGCACCTTATGTAGGATTAGGAATCGTGGTGCCTGCCCTCGCAGAAGAAGAAAAATCCGATACAGACACCTGGCCACGCAAGGAAGGGCTCCCTTCAGGAGGGTGAGCCAAAAATGGACCTTGATGGTCCATTGATGGAAATGGGGAAAGATCTCCAAAACCACACTAAAATGGTATGTGAATTATCTACAGAAATAAAGACCCTTGTAGGTATCTTCTCAAAATGAGAGGAAGAGCATCAAGTGATACTGAGGACAACCCCGTTGTGATCCAGAATCTCCTTTCGAACAGAGCGTTGGAGAAGACTTGTTTAATTCGACACCAGTAGCAGGTCCAAAAAGGGACGCAGGTGGCGCTGTGGTCTAAACCACAGAGCCTTGGGCTTGCCGATCAGAAGGTCAGCGGTTCGAATCCCTGCGATGGGCTGAGCTCCCATTGCTCGGTCCCTGCTCCTGCCAACCTAGCAGTTTGAAAGCACCTCAAAGTGCAAGTAGATAAATAGGTACCGCTCCGGCGGGAAGGTAAACGGCGTTTCCGTGCGCTGCTCTGGTTCGCCAGAAGCGGCTTAGTCATGCTGGCCACATGACCCGGAAGCTGTACGCCGGCTCCCTCGGCCAATAAAGCGAGATGAGCGCCACAACTCCAGAGTCGTCCACGACTGGACCTAACGGTCAGGGGTCCCTTTATCTTTGCCTTAGGAGGTCTAAGGAAATCTCCAAAAAAGAAAGTTGGCTGACAATATGAGGATAGCTATGAGTCATGGTTCCACATGATCACATTATCAAGCAGTTGTGTTCTATGTTATAAATCAAGCACTGACAGCAGTTGCTTTTTTTGTTTTCCAAAAGTATTTCTTATCAATTAAAAATTTGGTGTGGCACAAGCAAATGTTTATTCTGAAAGTGCATACACCCCAACATTTTGGGAGGGCAATTTGGGGCACACACCCCCCACTGACCCCATCACTCCCTCCTTCCTTGCCTGCCCACTGACCCCTCCCTCCCTCCACTGGTATGGTCTGCCAGAAGGCCACTCCAGCCAGTGCCTAGTCTCCCAATGTCCGTTTTTGGGTCCCTCATTCTGGCACAACCAGCGCAGGGGAGCAAAATCGGGGCAGCCGATTCTGGGAATAGAGGCTGATTCGTGATGTCCCGATGAAATCAGGACCTTTGACCGCTTTGAAAGTGTGGCCCAGGGGAAGAAGCTTAAGAACCACTGTGCTTATTGCGGATCCTCAAATTCAGTGCCTCTGCTCCTAGTTCTTTATCTTTCAGTTGGGTTTGGGCTGGACAGTCCTTAAAATAGAAACCTGCTTTAGCTAGAAGGCTGTCTTTCTGAAGGTAGCATTGGGCCAGTTGTGAGCTGCAAGAGTCTGAATGAAGGAGTTGTACAAATGTAAACAGGACTTCGCAGAAGTACATTTCCCTGTAGATTAACACGTGTTGCTACGGTTACAGGTGGATGTGGTGAAATATTGTGCACAACAATACGATGAAGTACGTTGAGAAAGGGAAAATCCGGGAACTCTATTAAGGGAGTTAATTTTTCCCCTCACTAGATAAGGATATATTTCACAAGGACTATAATGGTGGGGTGTGGGGGTGTGTGTGTGTGTGTGTGTGTGTGTGTGAGTGAGTGAGAGAGAGAGAGAGAGAGAGAGAGAATGAGAATGTGGGGCAGGTTAAAACAGAATAAGATAGCATTTAGGCAATTTCTGAGAGGCAGTTGCACAGATCTGTTATTTTCACCATTATCTGCTTTAAAATTAGCTTTGCTTTTGCCAGCCAATATCAGCTTTGTGAAACTAATCTAGCAGACTACTTTTCTTGTATTCCGTCCAGGAAATTAAATATTAAACCCCAGAATATTCTCAAAGATTCAACATGTTTTGCTGGGCATATACAAAGAACTGAACTTGCATGACCTCCTGCTCCCAAATCTTGGATCTCTTAGAAATAAAGCCATTGGCTGAATCCAAGGGCTCAATTCCAGGCACCCAGAAACTCATGACAAAGGGGAGTCTGGCACCCACAAACTCATAACATTTCACTTCATTGCAGCCTAAGGGAAGCTGTTTATTGGCAGAACATACTGAGCAGAAACTGAAAGAAACAGGGGGATGAGGAGGTCTAAGGGTGAAGTCCTGCTCCTGTCCATCATAATACTGACAGATTACTATGGGGTGTTGAGAAGGGTTATTTTTAACTATTAAGTGAGAAACAGCAGCCATAGTCAAGGCCAGAAGTGTTTTCCCTTGGTGACCCCGCCATGTTGAAAAGTGTGTGTGTTTGTGTGGTATTTCCTGTCCTTCCCAAAAATGAGCCATGTTGGATGAAGCCAGCTCTAGTTCTTTTCTAAATTGAATAAAACCACTTAACCCACTGAAAGATATATTTGAAAAATGAATATTAAGGGGAACAATGCCCACTGTTAAGCAAGGGAGCTAAAGTAACAATGTCATGTCCTCCATTGTGACACGTCCGCCTGCTGAGTGACTTGGCTGAGGACTTTGGGAAGAGCAACTATTTGAGGATAGTTGGCAGAAAAGTAGTGGTTGGTGTGTATTGTGTTTGCTGAAAAAAAATGAAGATTTCTTCATCTCACTTGCAGGTAGGATCTCTTATTCTTTCCACAGTCTGTTTCTTTTGCTATCTCTTAAGATTTAGAAACATAGGGAACCAGGTCATGGTTAGATTAATTTTAAAGACTGTCTTCAGGTTCACCTTAGATGCTTTGAGGGGAAATGGCATGCCTTCTCCCTTGTGGTCATCATCACAAGAAGGGCATCTCCCAGCTTTGGAGGGTCCTTTGACAAGATGCCCTCCTCAGTGGGTTCAACTGCTTGCTGCACTCTCCATTTGAGGTTTCTGAAAGCAAGTTCAGCTGCCAGGTGCCCCAAATTTAGCGCAGAGATGGAGAGCATCAAGGAAGGAACTAGAATCCATTTCCTGACTATCTGATTTCCCTCTTCTTCCCTAGGTTTCGAAATCTGTGCAGGCTGGGCGAGCTGATGGCCTCCTGCTGTCGTGCCCCCAAAATCCATCCCCTGGTCTGAGAGGAGGAGGAGGAAGAGATATTGGAAGATCGATGGGATGACGAAGTTAATGTTATGAAAGATCAGAAGAGTTAATGAAGATAAGAACTATTTACGTAAAACAGTGGGACCAGGGGATGGATGCTGCCGATGCCAATATGGATGGTGAGTGTTGATCTTTGTTCATGAGGAACAGGGAGGCCAGAGAGGAACAGGGAGGCCAGCTTCTTGATTCAAGAAGACTTCAGGGACATCCCTTTTGAAGATAATGGAGAACCATTTCTCTTTAATTCTGTCCTTTTCCATTATGGTGTATTGCCAACTGCAGTCTCTCAGGTTTGCCCCTGGGTTCAAAGGGTTGGCAACCCAAGTTAGACCACTGGACTAGGACTTGGGGACGTGGGTTCAAATCCCACCTCATCCATGGAACTTAATGAGTGGCCTTGGGTACTCACTGCCTCTTGACCTACCTCACAGAGCTGTTGTGGGGATGGGATGAGGAAGGGAGGGAGGGATGGAGGGAGGGAGAATCGCATAAGCCACCTGGAAATCCTTGCAGGAAAGATGGGTTATGAACATAATAATAAATGGGAAAATTAAGAATCTTTTCTAGGGGGTGCTTTTTCTACCGATGGGGTCTCTTCCAAGTCTACATTTCTACAATTCTATGATTCTACAAGTCTAGCAAAAATGAAAATCAATTAATGGTTGGCAAAATCAGAATAGGGTTTTTTTGGGGAGGGTGGAGGGTGTCATTGAAATGGTCACCCACCAGTTCCACTGAGCTTAATCAGAGAGAGAAAGCCGTCTGGCGACAAAATGGCCGACTTCCATGGCTCAAATATTGATCACACCAGTCCCACGGGATTCTTGTGGCTGGAATATACCACACCCCCTCAGGAAGAATGGCAGCATACAAATATAAACTATAAATATAACTAGCAGTGTTTTATCCAAGTTAAAGACGTAAGCCACATTTTTGGTAGACTGGAAATCCCCCTCAGCCCCAATGTCAGATTTAAATAAAAGAGGTCATGTTGCGGCACTAGGATTGATTATTGTACTCCCAAAAGGACAAACATTAATCAAATTTGTGCCCGGCAGCATATTGTTTCTGCTTCATTCAAGCATGGTGGATTATTTTTAATTCGCCCTCCTGATAAAGTTGCATAACTAGAGAATAGCAAACAAATTTAATTGGCAACTTTACTGTGCAAAACCTGTGCCTTCGACTCCTATTATAAATGCAGCCCATGATGCAGGAAAAGGGAGTGCTATATGTGGAGCGGCTGGACCATCTTGGCTCTGTGACCGTTTCACAGTTTCTGCATCGGAAAGGAGTGAGGTCGGATTTATTCCAAAGCACTGGATTTCCTTGGCTTAAAAGTAAGTCGCGCCTATTAAATTGGAACAAAACGACCCCATTCTCTGACTCAGAGATGAAATCGGGATGCATCTCTTTCAAGCACAGGGAAGTGTTTTCCGTTTCTCGGCGCCATTTGATTTTTGGTCACTGGCATTTCAGAAAGGTCACTGCAACGGTGAGGCCGTGGGTCGACTGCCCACATTGCTTTTTCTCCCCTAACAAAAGGCAAAAAGATTTCGCATGCTGCAGGATGGATCGTGACTTTAGCATGCGTACAAGGTTTCTTGCATGCCCAACAACAGAACAGAAAAGGGCAGGGAACGCGTCATACAGTGGTACCTCGGG